AACAGAACATTTTTCTTAGAGCATTATTCACTAGACATGAGGCAAATTGCTCTATACCAGTTGGAACAATGACATGTAGCTGAGAATACTCTTTGTTCTTTTGAGAAAAGCAGTCACTCTTGTGTTCTGAAGTCAGGGAAAGGCCTTGACATTTTTGGCTTAGCAGAGAATGAGAATAACTAACTGCATTTATCACAGAAGTAATTTCATTTAAGTGAAAAACAGTACAAAATGCTTAAACATGCTTATTGGCAAACCAATAAGCTTTTGTGAATATGTAGAAGGAGAGGAAAAGTTTGGAAATAGCTTTAGAAGAAAATGCTATTATTTAGCATAGCAGGAGGGAATGTTTGTGTTGGCCAAAAGATGGAATGACAGCCACCCAGCCAATGGATACCTTCTTAAACAATAAGGGAGGTGAGGCAGAGACCAGTGGTGAACTCAGTCACACCCTCACCTCTATGTACCCCAAACAACACCTGGGCCACTCAGCATGCATGTTGGCCTCCAGAGCCACCCCAAATGGTGGGTTATGAGTTCTATTTAGTGACTTCTAGGCTTAGAGTCAGTTCTAGTTCTTTATCACTTTTACCCTAGGGAGTTCTTCACTGTGTCTAACTTACCATGAATGTGGTTTATGTATAACCTGACCAGTTCAATAAAGCTTTTTCACGCCATATTATAGGGCATGGAGTTGTACCATGGAATCAAATGTGACCTTAAATTTGGTACTTTCTATGTAGGTGCTCTGGGAAAATTACTTAATCTCTCTGTGAATCAAGGTTTAGAAAATAGGCTGCCTATCTTATAAAACTATTTTGGAAATAAAATCAGATAGATGGATGGATGGATAGATAAATGGATGGATTAATCAATCAATAGATAGATATAATAGATAGAGACAGCCTGCCATCTAATAAGTACTCAAAAAATGTTAGCTTCTTTTCTCTCCCCTGAAAGAATATCCATGAATTTGTACAATATTTACTCCCAACAAGCACACATTTTGATTATAATTAATCACCCAATGAAACTCCCTTGACTATCAATATAGAATCCTAACACTGCCCGGGTGTTCTTCATAGATGCTGTCCTTTCCTTTGTCAATCCCCATGTTCTCTCTAGACTCTTTCCATGTGCCTGATTTAATGTACAGAATTCAAAACTGACCACAGTCCTTTGGAGGATGTGACCAGAACCTGTTTGTTTGGAACAGTTTTTCTGAACCATGACACTTTTCAGAAAAAAGAAATTGAGGGGAGTGGTAAGGAGGATGCAGTCAGAGGAATGAGCAAACTTGCACTGCGAGTGCCCACTGATTCTCAAGTCCAGTTGGAGGATGCTCCCAGGCTGGGGAGCCTATTTTGTGTGTTTAAGTGGCCTCTTTTGTCTTAAACTGTCTGAGATATGTAATTCCAGAAATGTAAGGGCATTTTTCTTATTCTGGTCCTAATTCTTTCTTTCAGTGCTGAGGATAGCCAATATATAGAAAATGCTTAGTTTGTTCTTTAAAGTGTTTAATAAGCACTGAAGTATAATCTTGGTAATTAAAATACTTTATATAAATATCAACAAGGCAATGAAGCAAACTCAAGCAATGATTTGGATTGCTTCCACCAATGATTACTAGCTGTATATAGGAATATGTCTCTCCAAAGTATAGTGAAGACACAAGTCCCTGACTGCTTTAATAAACTGTTATTTAATATAAATGATAAACTCTCTCATCTGATAAATTAAGTACATATTATGTATAATAACAACAGGGACAATTAAAAAAATAAACACACATTAATGTCAGCACTATTATAGAAAATAATACATATGACTTTAATTATTAAAAAGAGACCCTTTAGCCCAGCTGATATGGCTCAGTGGTTGAGCATCCACCTATAAACCAGAGGTCACAGTTCTATTCCCCGTCAGGGCACGTGCCTGGGTTGTGGGCTCAGTCCCCAGTATGGGGCATGCAGGGGGCAGCTGATCAATGATTCTCTCTCATCATTGATGTTTCAATTTCTCTTTTCCTCTCCCTTCCTCTCTGAAATCAATAAAAATATGATTTAAAAAAGACCATTTAAAAATATTACTAATATCTTCATTTGATAGATGAGGAAACTGAGGCAAGTAACTTGCTGTCATGCAGCTAGTGAGTCCCTAAACGAGGGTTTAAACTCAGGGAGTCTAGCTTGGATCCATGATCTAGGCCACCTTATCTATTATAGAATCAACTGCCATGAAGGATTTATTGAGAAATTTTTTTTTAATGGAATAGAACAAATGTTACAATGGAGATAGTGTACTTTTGAGCAAAAAATTATTTAATTCTCCAGAGCTAAGTTATACAGGGTGGAGAAAAAATGGGTTTATAGTTGTGAATACATGAAACAAAGACTCTATTCTTACAAAAGAGGCTCGGTGCACAAAATTCATGTGTGGGTATGGTCTCTAGGCCTGGCCTGTGATCAGGGCCATCTTCCCTGGCTGCCCATATCCGGCCCCGCTCTCTGCCACCACCCACCCCCTAGTTTCCTGTTTGCCATCGGGAGATAGGAGCCTATCAGCCAGGGAAAGGGATTGAGAGATGGTCAGTGCACCTCAGTGACTGGTCAAGTGGTTGTTCTGGTCATTTCACTGTTAGGGTCAATTTGCATATTACCCTTTTATTATATAGGGTTATAATTATTTGTTAATTATATTATTTTTTTCTTTTTATTAGAAGAATTAGAGTGGTTTGATATTTTTATCATCAAAACACGAAGAGGAGAATTAGTAGAAGCAGGTATCCTTTTGGGGGAGTGCGGTGTTCATAGAAGGGCCACATCCTTTCACTTACTTTTCCATGGGTTTGTGGAAATTCAATGAGTTTCCTGAGTGAAGGCAAAAAGGGCACTCCATGAAAAGTGTTTGTAGACATTATACGGTTCCAGGAACAAAACACCTACATCTCCCTCCCAGGTGGATGTCGTCTTAGCCATGGAGTCTGCTGATTTGCCCTGTTTATAAAAGAACCCAGGGGAGAGAAGATGCATTCAACCATGGAGAGAGGAGGCAAGGACTGTCTGGTAAGTTCCATCTGAGGAGTAGGAAAGAGGGACGCTCCTCATGCTTGCAAGTCTCAACTGAAACTGCTGAGGACAGATGAGAGAGGAGGATTGCTGCTGCTTGGATAAAGTGGTGAGCACATCAGGAGACTGCAGTGCACTACTGCTGAGGGTTTTGTGGAAGAGACAGCCAAGTTTCCCAGGGCACCAACCACAGGTTGGAAGAGTTGTTTGAGTCTCAGCATCAGTGCCTATATAGGTCTCCACCTTTCCAGACTACATCACCAAAGATAAACAGAAAGGATACAGCCATAGCGGAATGGTAAGGAAATGCCATTTCTGTTTTTCTCCTTTTTGCCCTTATACTACCAAAGGAGAAATTGAAGAGAAAGAAAGATCTAGAGCAGAGATTTTTAACCAGTGTGCTACAAGAATTTTTAAAACATTCAATACTTGACTATTTAGTCAGGGACACTAACCTCTTTTCCCTTAGATTGTAGAAAAAATAAAATAGACAACAGCCAACATAACAATAGCCATTCAATATGAATGAATCAAAATTGTACCTATTTCTTTTGTCATAGTGGCAAAAAACATAATAATATTTTTGGTGTGCTGCAGAAGTTGAATAAATTAGTTTTGTGTTTCATGAGAGGAGAAACATTGAAATTGCTGATCTAGAAAAGAGAGAGAGAGAGAGAGGGAGGGAGGGAGAGAGAGAGAGAGAGAACAATGCCTCTATTAACTCCAGAATACTTTGGTGAAACCTAAGACTTTATGTTGGATGGAGGGATAAAGGTCTGATAAAACATAAGATTTTAAAGTGGAAAGGACTAATACATAATAAAGTTAGAGATATGTATTGAAATGCCACTAAAGAAGACTAATTGGGAAACAAAGCATAGTTGCTAACAGATATTGGCAAAATAAAATAATGTTTATACATTAACTGATGAAATATTCTTAATCAAACCAGTTGCAATTATAAAGAAGTGGAAAGAAATACTTGCCTATCCCCCCTCCCAGCCCTTCAGTTTTATCTGATTGGGGAAATTAGAAATACGAAATATTGAGTCCTCTACAGGTAAGCCCACCCAGCCGACATCTCCATTCTCATCTCCATTGCCTCACACACCCAATGCCTCAACACTGAATCATTCAGCGCCTTTTCACACCACATGCTTGCTTATGTGGTCATGTTTATGCAAATGTTTTTTCTTCTGCTTAGAGCAACCTTCTTTCTTTCTTTTATTTTTATTGATTCTTAGAGAGGAAAGGAGAAGGATAGATAGAAACATCAATGATGAGAATTATTGATCGGCTGCCTACTACATGCCCCCTATTGGGGACTGAGTCCATTCTCTGGGCATGTGTCCTAACTGGGAATCAAATTGGTGACTTCTTGGCTCATGGGTCGATGCTCAACCATTGAACCACACTGGCCAGGCAACACCCTTCTTTCTAATGTCTGTCTGAAAAATTTCCACAGATGCTTCACTTATGGAGAGTTATAACTTCTCTGAAACCACCCTCACCTTTTCCTCCCTCCCTCTCTCATCCATGTTCTCAGCCAGATATCCTTCCTGAATCTACATTAGTCCCTTATAAGTATCTCCTGTGAGATGCTTATGTTGTACATAAGTATGTGTTAATATTTTTGACTCTCTTATTAGACATTTTTTTTCCTCTGGAGAGAAAAAAGATATCTTATTTACTCACTAAATCATTTACAATGTTTGGTATATCACATAAGATTTATAGATCTTTGCTGAGAGAGAGAAAGAGAGAGAGAGAAAAAGAGAGAGAGACACACACAGAGAGAGAGAATGAGAGAATGAGAGAGAGGAGGGAAGGAAGAAGGGAGAAAAGGAAAGAAAGGAGGATTTTCTTTGTGCTCAAAGTGATGAGGCTGCACAGTTTAGTTTAAGAGAAGGCTACATATTATTCTTATCTTACCCTTCCAGTGAGATGGCCCGTTGGAGAGTCACTGAAGGTTGGCGGGTTGCAGTGCTGTGTTGGGAATGACTATAAGAAAAGAAAGAAAAACAAAGATAGATCATTTATTTAAAATTACTTCACACATTCAAATAAATCCTATTGTCAAGAAAAGAACAGATATTGAAAGAAATATACTAGTATTAGAGATTAAATTGTTGATAAGTAGAATCCACCCAAATAGAACATGCTGCCAGACAAGGGGTTACTATTTCCATATAATTATTTCCATATAATTTGATTTCAACATGTATTATTCAAAAGTAGGCTTTAAATTACAAATCACAGGTAGACATGAAAAGAAACCATCATATTTAGAAAAGGTATTTTTTTTTCTCCTTGGAATAAGACAAAACAGACCACAAAAACAAATTTCATTATGAAGCAATGTATTAGTTTTTTTGTTTTTTTTTAATGCAGAACATATTTTTTTCCCCAAGCAAATTTTAAAAAGAGAAAATTTGCAAATTGGGGTAGAATTTAACTAGCATAAATTTATTAGTTCAAATTTGCAACACTTACTTTTATAATTCAATAACAATTCAGCTGTTGGATAAACACAAAAATTTGAAAAGTAGAATTTTCAGTTGCATATCAATCTTAAAATTTCATGAAATTCCACATTTTGTTTTGGTTGTATGGTAGCGAGCAAAGACTGATTTTATAGATAAATGGCTGCAAAAATAATTCTAATATATCACATTTAGTGAACACATATTTTCTAAGTTTATATGTTTATACCTTTTATAGCTCACAGCCTTGTGAGGTATGTGCTGTTCCACTGAACATATGAGGGAAATAAAGTACAGAGATATTTAGAAACTAACCCAAAGTCATTTGGTAAATGCCTGTGCATGAAATGGCATCCAAACTGTCTAATTCTAGAGCCATTATTCTTAATCATCATTATACCACATCCCAAATGATAACAATTTTTCAGGTTTGTAAAAACTTGCCTTAAAAAATCTCAGAATTCTTCAATTAGAGGTAAAGGGATGCTTTTATCTGAGATATGCACAATGACAATCCAACAACAGTAAAGAATGCATTGTGTGCCTCACATGTATTATAATTTTTAGTTTGTAGTATTAGTTTAATATTTTAGCTATAATATTAGTTACATATGCATGCCATATATGAAGATGTGTTTATACACATATACATATAAAGAGAAACTCAAGTCAAGTCTTTGCAGAACATGACACTCCTTCACACAGCTCTTGGATTTTATAGCATGTGCTCTGCAATGCTGACTGACAGACAACCAAGCTATAGACTGCAGATTTTCATTTAGAACCTAAATTAGGTCATTATGATTGAGAAAAGGTGGCTCTCCGTAATAGCATGTAGTTGTGACATGAATGGCATTTACCCAAGTTGAGGGAGTAGAACTTTGGGTCTGTAGCTAAATAGATCTTCCTCAGGGCAAGGACTGCATCCTTTGTTTCCTAGCATCTCTCAACATATTTACTGGACCAGTTGAAAAGTAGCATAACATTCAGGAGCTGGACCATGTAACCATGGCCTGAGTTCAAAGCCCAGCTCCTCCATGTATCCTAATGTGACCTTGAGCAAGTAACTGAAAGCTCTTTGAATGTCAGTTTCTCATCTGTAAGACTGGGATATAATAATGCATTTCTCATGGGGTTATTATATCTTGGTAGATATACCATCTTTATAATGATTCAGTGAATTAAGTATTTTACACAATGTCTGTTACATGGTAGTAAAAGCTATATAAATGTTTGTTAAGTAAATAAACTAATATGATTTAGCCATGTGTAATTTGAGATGTTTGGCCCTAAGTAAAAACTATTATTATAGATCATTACAGTTAACCATATAGTCACTAATACAAGGGGTATACTTTTGAGCTTAACTTTGGTGATCAATATTAAATTCAAACATATTTTCAACTATGAAAACAACATTATGGAATGAATAGAAATCAAAATAAGAGAAACAAATTCACATATAGTTCCATTAACTTGTCTCAGACTTTACAGACTTAGCTAAGTTTAATTCTTTTAGCTGCCCTATAAGGTAAGTATGAGTAACTTGTCAGAGGTCAAAAGCTTGCACACATGGAGCCAGAATTAAAACTGAAGCTAATATTGTTTCCAATTATGTGTACTTTCCACTCTATGCTATGGACTCCATGTGTCTCATATAGTTTTATATACATGCAGAACATACAAATCACATATCCTACATTTTCCCCTTACATTATAATTTAAGCATTTCTGATAGGCTCTCCATAATTATTATTTTGGTGTTATATAATGTTACTCCTTATAAAGATATAATTTAATGGTTAGGGAATGGGTTATTTCCATTGTTTAAATATTATAAACAATTCTGCAATAAACGTATTGACATAATGACTTTTTCATATTTTACAATTTCTTTTAAGTGTTTTCACTAAAATAAAATGAAACATTTATGTTCTTGATTTATGGTATTAATTACTTTTTAAAAACTTTGTACCATTTATTCTCTCATATATGAGACAATATATATATGTTTCACCACAATATTACAAGTATTGACATTAACATTTTTAAAAAGTTGATAATTTAATTGGTGGGAATGATATTTCTGATATGAGTATTTCTTTATTAGTGAGAATGATCATTTTTTTCTATATGCGTATGCTAATTGTACTTCTTTTGTTTAAACTGTTTAATTCTTTCCTTTACCTTTTATCTTCTACTGGTTTGGAAAAATAGCACCAGTTCTTGTGTAAAGGTCAATGATGCTCACTAACAAAGATTAATAAGTAACTGAAATCCCTGATAGCTTCCTTACCATTAGCTTACATCACATAATTAAGACAACAAAATATTCAGTAATCTCACTTATCACTTCCTTAAACTAACTACTCTATTATTCTGCCCTGTTATTTCAATAATGTCCCTCTTAAAGTTTTAATGATGCTATTAATTGCAAAAGTTGCCATGAAGTGCTCAGAGAATTTGACTCCTTTTATATTACTTATGTGAAGTTAGCTGTTTCTCTTACCATGTAAATTTGGAACAAAGAGAGAATTTTATAACATGTAATTACCCTTTTACTCTACTAAGACAATTACAGTAAATTATCTGATGGTCAAGACCTTTGGGCATAAGGTAATTTTTGTTTCCTGACAATAAAGTTTAAGCAGTACTTTCATGGGGAATACAGGCAGTGGGTATTAGGAGCTAACTGATGGTGATAATAACTTGCATTTTTAAAAAACACTAAATTCCTTTCCCTTGGGACCATGCAGGTTCTGTTCTTTCCATATTACTGGCTACACAGAGAGCATGTTGCTAGTTCTACCAAGACTAAGAAATTATGGGTAACCACTGCCTGGCTCTTTCACCTCCTTCGGTAGAGAGGTTGGCTGGATGAAATTCCAAAAACTGGAGTGGAAGAACCAAGGGAGGAAAACACAGCTAAAATTTAAAGCCTGAAGGACAGCTAAGTGCTTGGAATATCCTTTGTCTTAAAAAAAACAAAAAAACAACCCACAACCCTATCCACAAATGGCCATCCTCCTCCGATATCTATTATTTTTCCAGACACTGTCAAATATCTAGCTAACATGCTGCTCTGTGGCCCAACTCATCTTTTTCACACATGCACAGTAAAATCCAGGGCTAGGAAGCACAACCATTTATTTATGTGCCTGTGTTTTCTACCGAGTTGTGTATGCTTTCCGAGAAAGTGATAGGAATTTTTCCACACAGGTGATCCAACACATTCAGTTAGAAAACACTGAACTCTCACTAAAGATTACCAACTGTTTGTTTTTTCATAAAATACCACCCATATTTTCATGGTGCATGGTGTATGTCCAACTTGCATGTCAGTGGGCTTTTGAAGGCCTTTTTTTTTTTTTTTTTTTTTTTTTTTTAAAATAAAGGTCACTTAGTAAAGGAATTTCTCTGTCCTATTCACACCACCTCATTGGTAAGTGATGGGCATTTATGAGGATTTAAGTGACAATGAATGGTGGCTGAGTCAGATGAGAATGAGGAAGGCTCAGCATCCTGTCACAGCATTGATGCTGGGGAAGACATCTCTGTCACATGGTAGAAAACCTGTGGTACCCACTCTGTATTTAAGTAGCTAGGCTAAGTTGTCAAATCAGGTAACTGTGGAGGCAAATTTTACCAAGACTTAAAAAATATATATATATTTTATCGACTTCAGACAGGAAGGGAGAGGGAGAGATAGATAGAAACATCGATGATGAAAGGTAATCACTGATCTGCTGCCTCCTGCACACTCTCCCCCGCATGCCTCCCTCCGCCCCCACATGTCAAGCCTGCAATCAAGGCATGTGCTCTGACTAGGAATGGAACTGCAACCTCCTGGTGCATAGGATGATACTCAACCACTGAGACACGCTGGCTGTGCATTTACCAAGACCTTTTTAAAACTCAGAGAGAAGTAACAGGACCATTGCCTTTCTAAATCATGCTGTCATTGAATAAAATTGAGCCAGAGACCAGCAGAGTCCTATAGACAGACTTAGACTTCTAAAGTACTTTATGGATCTATTCATCTTATAGTTGGTCTTCCGTTTTTTGTGTATTTTACTCCCCAAATAAACACTGCTAACACCTTTGCTTCTTACATTGTGAGACAGTTTTAAGATTACTGGCTATCTTTCCTTAAATAAACTCTTAAATTTTTTCTTCTGACTTTTTCTTAAATTGCAGAACCTAGAAATGCATTCAGAGTTCCAGAGGTGTTCAGAGCAGGGCTGAGTGCAATGAGATGTTGACTTTCCTCCCTTTGAATTAAATACATATTCCTGCCAGAGCAGCCCAGGATAACATGGACTTTAAAATTTGCTGAATTATTAAGTTTAGGGTCAACCTAAACTTGTATATTTTTTACATCAAATAATTCAACATCAAATCTATAAAAAACTGGTACACTGAATTTTTGGCAACTCAATATAGTTATTAATATCTACCCTTGTCAAATTTAATGTTATTGATTTCGATCTCATTTTACAGTTTGGTAAGCTAACATTG